AGGTACATGCCCTTGACCAGAATCGAACCTGGGACCCTTGAGTCTGCAGGCCGACGCTCTACCCACCGAGCCAAACCGGTTAGGGCGCTAGGTTTATTCTTAAAGTAAAACTATGCTGAACCATTTCACAAGGACATAAAAACAGCAACAAAGCACGTATGATAGGGAGAGATGAAGCCCTACCTTGTCCAACATGTCGTAAGCTTTACTGAGGAGCGCTCGCCAAAACTTCCCAGTTAGCTTGTCTGCGTTTTTCTCCACTGACTGTGCAACGGCATTAATGTAGCCGAGGACCGCCTCCAGCAAACTAAACACAGGAGACGCGTGAGGATTCTGTACTATTCTTCCAGGTTTTTGATAAAAGTTTGAAATTATTTCCAAATAAAATGGAAAAAGAAGACATAACATACCTTTGTTCAAGGCCTTTTAAAGCCTGAGGACCACCGCTTTCAACGACCTAATTTGTAAAGAAGGCCTCGTTAGGACATTATGCAGCTGATAATAAAAACCATTTGAGGTGGGCTCTTAATTCACCTAAGACTATTCAATTCAAACTTCCCAGAGCAACTGTTTTCTGACATTATAATCTAATCAGGTTCAGATCACCCTCGTCATATTGTAATAACTCTATTTCCCTTACTTTATTTTAATTACAATCTATTCATTTAATTACATTCTACAGCTATTGGTAATACCTGTAAAGTACTACAAAGATTCAGAAAACTATAGCAAATCAATACTCATTTACCTACCAATTATGGAATGCTGATCTTCCTTTAGTTCGTAACCCAATTTTAAGATACCATGCGTCACGTTTTCATGATACCTGCCAAGCTCTTTTTACTAGTTTAAAACACAGTTCCTTTGGAAAAAGCAGTCACTGTCTCATCACATGTCTGAAGAACACACACCTTTCTGATAAAGTGGCTGGAAGCCAGGAGCTGGCCCATGAAGGACACGGACAGGAACTTGAGGTGCCGCAGCTGCTTGCCCGTGTGAGCGTCCACATTGAACACCTGCAGCATCTCCCCTGCGGCTTCGCTTGGAGGAGATGGCGCTTTGGGAACGGTTTCTGCAAAAGAGCAACAAAATCGGTGGCCACACTCATCTTCGACCTCAATCTGCAGTGCAGATACAGAGAGCACAGGAAATGGGGTACATGTCTCAGAGAGGTACAGAACCTGTTAACCCAGTACACTCAGTCTTCCCTCTTTTAAATTAGTGAGAGCCCGGCTGGCGTGGCTCAGTGGTTGAGTGTCGGCCTATGAACCAGGAGCTCATGATTTGATTCCCGGTCAGGGCACATGCCTGGTTTGCAGGCCCAATCCCCAGTGGGGGGCGTGCAGGATGCAGCCGATCAATGATTCTCTCTTATCATTGATGTTTCTCTCTCTCTCTCTCTC